GCTGCTGCACCTGCTGGCCCTGGTAGCTCTTGCTATAGTAATCGGTGTAGGGCTTGGCGAAGCTGGGCTCCTGGCGGTAGTAGGGACCCGGGGCGCCACCGTGGCCGCCCTCGAAGTGCTCGTGATGGTGGTAGTAGGTGGCCGCACCCACTCCCTGGGGATTGTACTCGGGGAAGGTGTTCTTGCTGCCGAAGAGGCCAGACAGTCCGCCGCCAAAGGCTCCTCCCACGCCGCCTGGTGGACGGCAGAGCTTGAAGTAGGCGAACAGACCGGGCAGGATAATGGCGGCCAAGCCCAGGATCTTCTTCAGACCAGCGATGCCCAGGATGAAGGGCAGGAAGAGCAGCAGCTTCAGCTTGAAGATCTTCAGCACCAACAGCAGGGGAATGATCATCTTCTTTAGCTTCTTGCGGGCTGCAAGGAGAAATGGGAATTAGTAATCGAGTTTGAGAAAATATTTCAGGGAACACTGTTTTGTTTTTCTAGAACAAATCAATATTGTTTTAAGGGACTTACAGAAATGTCCAGCACGCTGGCCGTCGTCAATGAGGTCCAGTTCACCGTCAATGTCATTTCCGATGAAACGGGCTTCGTAACGACCGGCCTCAGTCAGCTCCTCGGGCCACTCCAGCTCCAGAGCCGTGGACTTGATGAAGCTGCAAGGAAGAGCGGAAAACGTGTCAAAGAATGAGCATTTACATTTTCATAAAAATCTCATATTTTATGCATAAGCTCGGCCAACTTCGCGGACCCAAATTAATTTGCATCCGGCACGAGCCGCAGTCATTTGGCTAATTGTGACAGCTTACTTACCGTTCGGCCCTGCGCAGGGCATATTTCACCAGCTGATTCCAGTCGTCGTCATCGCCGCGCGGCTCCTCGGAGTACTCGAAGGGTTCCTGGAGCAGGGAGCGCTGCTGGGTCTCCGGCAGCCGGACCACGCGTGCAAAGTCAGAGAGCCTGAGTAATAAGGGGAGGGCTTTATTAATACTTTGCTTAAGTGGAATATTAATGATGCGGAACAATGGGATTCTATAAATAATGTGACCATTTGGAGTGTTTTATCTTTTTTAATTTACTTGTCACAGAATTGTGTTTTATCCTTTTCTAAATTACTCGAGTACTGATTTAGAATTCCTTGTGCTTACCTGTACTGATCCTTGTAGAAGATCTCGTCGAAGGTGTTCAGGGCCTGGGTCTTGAAGCACTCGGAGAGGTCACCGCCCAGACAGTTTCCGTTGGTCTTCGACAAGTAGGGATCGTTATCGTTGCCCAAACCGAAGATGCTCAGGAGAGAGGACCGGCCGCGCTCCTCGCCAGCTCCGGGCTGCAGTGGCTGTTGCTGTGGGATCTGCTGGGGCTGCTGTGGTATCTGCTGGATCTGCGGCTGCGGCGCATACACCTGCTGGACGTGACTGGAGGACTGCTGGTCGGGCAGCCGGAGACCTTCACCGGCGACCAGGCCGAGAATGGCTAGGAGGACGAGCGCTCTTATTGCCATGGCTGCAAGCGGGAGAAGAAGAAATGGCTTAAAAAACAAGTCTGATGGTTTTCTCCCAATCACCCGATTGTTCCAGCCCCTTCGGCTCCGACACGCGATGTCTGACTGCGTATTTATAAACGACTTTTGGCAACTGCTCATTGGCTTAACGGCTTAACGGATTGGCTCTCCGCTCACCACTGACACACTTTGCAGATGGCGCGCAGTCAATTAGCCGCTCACACGTAATAATAACTCTCGCTTTCTGGCCAGCCGGAGCCGCTGCCTGCCTCTGCTTGCTCCTCATTGTTTACTGTTAACTTAAGTTTCTTCAAATTTCTCGGGGCGAGCTTTCTGCAGCCGAAAAGTACAGATAAAGGCCACAAAAGAAGCTGGCTTGTGAAGTGAAATGCAGGCGGGCCGGACCGGTTTGCCGGCATTAACCCTTGGGCGGCAATGGGGCGGCAAATGCGCGTAATTGAATCCCGTGCCGAGGCGCATAAACAGCGAGCCTAAAGTGCTTGAAAAAGGTCGGTCCGGAGTCCGGTTTAGCCAGAAGTGCAATAAAGCGTGCTTAATGCCACTCTGCGTGGACTGTGGGCCGCGGTTAGTGGTTGGCCAACCAAAAGTTGGATCAGTAAATGGGAGATCTAATGCCTTATTTGGCATTAACCAAAGGCAGATACTATTCAAAACTATTTTGAATTCGTTAATAGTATTTTGTAAGCAACAAAAGGCATTACTAAAAGTGTGGCTCTGCTCGAGGCGGATCCCTCGTGTTGAAATTTCTTCTGTGACCACTGTATATAGCTATATGTATATAGCGGCCACTGAATTCGCACACGAATCAGTTCGTTATGCTCGAGGGACTCTTCGACCAGGTCCCTCTTACTTTCGTTTCGCTCCTATTTCGGCCAAAGTCGGATTCGGACTCATCAGCAGCGCGATTGTTTGGCAATCCGCTTGTGGTTTGGGCCAAGTTCGAAGAGACCAAACTTGTTGGAAGTTCAATGCCCAGGGAAAAGACGCCTCTTAAAGTTTTCCGTGCGCCAAAGTGTATGCAGCGAGAAATGCTTTATGGCGGCAGTGTAGAAATTTTATGGCAACTAAAAGTCTCGCGCCCGAAAGCAGACAATGAGGGTCAGAAATTTATGCTTTACCCGAATATTGAAAGTGGGACTGGATGGTCGCTGAAGATTTATGGATCACTGAATCAATTAATGATTCATGGCGAATATTTTGCGCAGTCAATGGTCGCTGGACGGGATGTCGCAAGCGAAACCGACTTGCTGGCCACTGTGTCGTGTTTGTTTGGCTTTTTGTTTTGCTTTCCAATTTGCATTCGCCATTGAAGGTCAATGAAATGTGGACGGGCGATGGTCGATATTACAAAACATCGTGGCGATATATGGAAATGTTAGCTCTACCAGAGGGGAAGATACGTAAATGTACACCCTTGAACCGCTCGTTGGCTTGGATTAAATTTAGCGGAAAACATTCAAATAAATTATGACTATTCCATGAAAATATTCAAAACTATTTGCGGAATTATTTAATGGATCAGATGGTCCTTGTCGAAGTTTGAATGCTTTAAATGCTATACTACTTTGAACAATTTATTTAAATATTTTTTGAAGAGGAAGTTAATACGGTTCAGTTCAAATAATTAGTAAGGCACTGCTCTGGGCAATTTGATGATATACTTATTCAATTAACTTAAATTGCATTTAAATTTTCTTAAATCCGTTTAAATTGAATCGAACTCAAGCCTTTCTGTATGCTCGTTTAAAATGGGTAATATCGACGTTTCCCACATCCATTTCATTTGCTTATTACACAATTTTTTCGCAGCTCATTTCACTTCACTTCACTTGCCCGTGTTATTTTTTGTTTCGATTTTCCGCTGTTTACCTTTTGCTGTTTCCTATAAAGGCCTGAGGTGGTTTTTGGGTTTGTGTATCCTTTCCGCTCTTCCCAAGCGACTGTGCTGCTGCCTGCTTGAAAGCGACTGTGCCCTGGCTGCTGGCCGGCTAAGATTTTATATGAAATGCGAGAAGTGGCGAGCGTGGAGCGCTGAAGTCGGCGCTCGAGCAAAGTCAACATGGAGACAATGGCCCAGACGCTGTCGTCGCTGGCTTGGCCCACAACGATGATGGCTAAGAGGCAGAGATCTCAACGCGCTCGCACTTGCGGTAGGTTGTGGATACGATCGATCCCCCGTTCCGTGGGTGAGAGACAACGACCTGTGTGTCCGGCTGTGCGTTCGGTCGTGCGCCTTGAGAAAATCCCAAAATTATGGTGGCGCACGTCGGGGCCTTGGCTTTAATTCGAGTTTGATTTAAAGAGTCAACGGAGTGAAGTGACTCATTCCGGGAAAACGTACGTCACAGCCCGGCAGAGGATTATGTAATGTGTGGCCTCTTGCCTCACAGACCATTATTACTTTTACTGCGAACTGGTTTTTGGCGACGCCCACGAGCCTGAAGTCGAGGCGAAATGTGAACAAACCGTGCGGAGACGCATGCATCTGGGTTTGCATTTTCTGCAAATTTCAGTGGGGCAAACTGGGGAATTTCCCCAAACCGCTTGCCACCAAAATCAAAACAACTGCCAGGCATTACTGTGGCTTTTCCCGTTGCCTCGCTGGCACGATTTCCCATATCCACTAACTGCTGACCACGCCACAAACAGAAGCCTTCAGGCCGCGGATTGTTTCCGTCAGGGGTTGGACCACGAGGCTTCTGTTTGGTTGGGCGGCGTAATTGAATCATCCACTTGGACGGTCCCCTCAGGGCTTTGCCCAGCGCGAATTTTAACAAACGAAAATGGCATTCCGCGAGTGCAAATAGAGATAGACAGAAAAGTTAATCTGAATGACAGTTGTTCGTTAAAAAAATACATTTGAATGTCTGATGAAGATTTTTTTTATAAGTTAATTACTGTTGTTGATGGCGGACCAAATTGGATATAAAGCAAACACTATAACCCATTTATCGAAGCCAACGCTATACACTATTAATTAACCAGATTACAAACAATAACATAACCTTTGAGCTGCCTACGGTGCCGTTTTAATTGACCTGATAGTTTGAAAGAGGCTCTCTTGGATAATCAAACAGGTAAGTGCAATTAATTTGGTTAATACAATGTAGTAAATTATTATTTTAGAAAATTTCAGCATAATTGAAATTACCCAAACAATTTGTAGGGGTAAAATCCTATACATTTAAATATACAAAAGTGTTAAACTAGCTAATTCTGCTCGTATTCTAAGCAGTCGCAAAGACTCTTGTGTTTACCTTTAATTATGTTTCGAATGTTTCCATACATTAGCAATATCTGCAGAGAATCCTTGAAAGTGACTTAAGCTCCTGTCAAACAAGCTTTTGCCTCCTTCTTTCCACACCGAGAAAGAGCAAGAAGCAATTCCCCTGCAGGTGAACTTCTGCATCAATGCAATGCCAATTCGAAAACCTTGAAAGGAAAACTCTAATAAAGCTTGTGGTACAACATAATTTTATTGATTATTCAGGACGTTGAACAACTCTCTCGTTGACTACTCGCATAACAATAACAGAATAAATATTTAAAAATAGATATTTAATGTATAGAGGCGTAGGCTAGAAATAAATACTTAAAGAAATTCATCTAAATGGCTAAAAATAACAGCATCATACAGTTATTCGCGCTCGCGCTAATTAAACTACGAAACAAACTTTTCTATTTACAGCATATTAATGAAGCCCCGCCCTAAACCGCCCCACAACCCACACCCACCCTGCGCCGACAGCTGCCGCGGTGGAGCGTCTAACGAACTTTTCTATATGGCTAGGCTATCTAAAGTGCGATTTGCATAATTACTATTCACGGACTTTTGACGTGACTCGAGCGAACTTTGGCGTCACCTTTGACGTCCCTTTTGACGGCTCCGGCCCAGGCCCAGATCCCGACGCTTGGTCTACGCCAGCTTACGGGCCTGGACAAGCTTGTTGATGTCGTTGTAGGTGGACAGCATGGCCGGGTTCTCAAAGTCCTTCAGCTCCTTGCACTTGGCGAACGACTGGTCGCAGTCGACGCCGTCCTGGCCGTCCTTGGCCGCCCGCATGTACTTGAAGAACCGCAGGATGTCCGGGTTGTCGGAGGTTGGTTTGCGCAACTCATTTAGCTCCCTGGAAGCAGAGTGGATGGATTAGAGTGGTCAGAATTGGATGCACAAAGCAGGGTTCATGCACAAAGCGAATGAGGTCGAGGTGAGAGTGTATTGCCATAAGCTTTGGCACTGAAAGAATTACCTCCCCAGTTCAAATCCAATTAATCTTGGCATACCTATAGGCTGGTCGCGAAACTCACCTGCTCAGTTGGGCGGAGACCAGGTTGCTGTACGGAGCATACTTTGCGGGGTTGGCGTACATCAGGCAGATCAGCTTCTCCCGACACGCCTCGTTCTCCGGATCGAGCTTGAGCTGGGCGAACACGGAGTCCAACCGCGAGAGCAGCGGACTGTAGAAGGGATCGTAGTTGGAGAGCAGCAGCGATGAGCTAGGCACCTTCTGGAAGCTCTGGAACGTGTTCATCACCGCCGGCGTGGGCTTCTTGGTCATACCGGGAGCTCCGACGCCACCGCCGGCGCTCAGGGAGCCCGACATGCTCTGCGAGTTCTTAAAGGAGGCGGCACCGATGCTTTGCAGTGCGCTAAGATACGTATCCTGCATCATCTGCTGGCCTCCGTAGCGGGAAAGGGTGGCCTGACTCAGCGCATTTCCATTGACCTGAGCATATTGCGCCTGCTGTTGGGATGCCTCTGCGGGATAAAGAAAATAAATATATATTTTAAATTTTCGAAGCATATGCTGCTCTTTCTTTGCAATGACCCACCTGCATTGTATTCGTAGCCAGCTGGTGTCTTGCCCTCGTCGGCCAGGGAAAACTTGCTGTCGTCATCGAAGTTTACGCTGTTGTCCCGGAAGTCCAGTTCCTGCGGCGGTTCCATGGGGCGAATGAACAAAGGCACCGAGCCAGCTGAGCCGGATGTGATGCCTAAACCACGGAAGTTAAGGTAAATCAGGAACACAAATAGCTGCCACATCCTTACCCTTTCCGATCAGCCTGCTGACGCTGCTGATAATGGTTGGCAGGAACATGGCGAAGAGTACGCTCTTTAGGACTTGTAGGCCCATGTAAATAGGCCACATCACCTTCTTCAGGCCTGCGGGAGAAAATGCATAGAATCATTATTTTTTTCAGGAACTTTATGAGTTTTAAATTAATAATCTAATATTTTACGGCATTTACTTACCACTGAAGAACAGCAGCCTGGCGCTTTCGAAGGCCCTAGGAACGTTGAGTTCGACATTGGTGTCCTCCAAGATGCTGCGAGCAGTGCGCTTTCCTTGCTCCGTTTGTGGGTGCGAGTGGTTCTGCTGCAGGGCCAAGACCAGACCAGGAGTGGGCTCGAACTTGCCCTGACTGAAGAACTGCTCCACATAGTCCACTAGAAGATCTTCCAGGCCCTTCAGTTCGGCCTCGATCGAGGCAGTGGTGTTGAGGCTCTCGGTTGTTGTACTTTTGGGCTGCTCCTTTCTGGGTGCATCCGATGGATGCTTGAAGTTCCTGCGCCGCATGGCCACCGTCAGTCGGAGATCACTCTCACTTTCCGCTGGCTGAAAGACCCGATACTGCCCTGACTTGGTGAAGACGTTGCGCGATATGAACTCCGGACTGATGTCGATGGGTAGGATGGGACGGAAAGTGTCGTCGTTTCGCGGCTGACCCGCCATCGTGGTGAGGGGCTGACTGTAGGGGGCCTGCGAGGCCATCACGCCCACTTCACAAAGCAGGATAATGCCACAGAGCAGCGTGCTGCATCGCCGCTTTCTGTGGCTATTTGCTTTTAATTTCGCTCCGACGATGTCCTGGCTCCGCATTTTCATTATACTCCTCCAGGCAACTGCACTTGCATGCCAAGGTTCGCTCCTCGATTCAGTTCAGTTTGCTGTAACATAATGAATAATTGGGTCAGTGAAAGGGGGGTTCTCTCCTCGTGGCCAACGTTCCCCGAAACTCAGCGCCGTTGACACACGAATAAATAACTTTACAGAACGTGACTGGCCACCGAAAAAAATTCGCAACCTGATAAGCGCATTACGTGCGTCCTTGCAGGGATAAAGGTATGTATAGATACAGTCGCAAAAGAGTGCAGAAGAAATTCTGGGAATAATCAATGTGTGGGTACAAATAAAAGACAGTTTTTCACTTTTATCGTGTAGTCATGCATAATGCAAAGTAAGTTCACACAATAAATAAATCTTGTTTACCCATATAAAAATTTTCGAAAAAATAAAGAGCACACAAATACCCACACATTTTTACGTTTATTTAATAATGCTGTGTTAAAATTGTGCACATTAAAGTGGCTTATATTATTTATTTTTATATTTAGCCTGCTGAAAATCATAGGGCATAAATATGTTTCGAGATGTAGCGGGTTGCATGGTCTGTGTTATACGACAACATATTGTTAGTTTTCGACTGATCAGCGGTGGCGGGACCCATAAAACGGTAGCTCATTCCGGGTGGGGTAGGTTCTTGCTGACGTCTAAACTTGACACTACGAACTTTAAATTTAAGAGTCCCTCAACAAAACAATAAGCCTACTCATAGGCGAAAAAGGTGGAATCAAAATCAAATTTATTCTATGAATGTATGTGTAGGGTCTTCAACGAACTGTAAGGCGGTGGCGTTGATGGTGGATGCCACATGTATTCTTAACCCTCCCAACCATGTCTCTCCCTAACTGGGGAAACCCAAATGTTAATGTCCCTTCTTTTATTTAATTTATACCCCCATGTCTAAAATAAAACTTAGAAATTCATCGTAATTTCATACTATAAATGTTTGTTATATTCATTTTCATCCTATTTTTTTTCAATTCATTTTTTTCTAAACATCCATTATTACAATTCAAGCATTCTGTTTCTATTCATAGGTTCTAATCATTTCCAAATTAATATGTCTTATTTAAGTTTTAAATTGTCAAATAATATGGTTATATCTACATGTTGGCTTTTAATTAATTATCATAAAAATTAAGAATTAAATTTTAAATTTTCAAATAATATTTTTATCTCTACATGTTGGCTTTTAACTAATTAAAATAAAAATTAAGATCTAAGTTTTAAATTGTATGAATTAATTGTACATCTTTGTTGTTTCAGTGTATGTCGTTTATCTTCATTGTTTTTCTTTTTACTCTATTTGAACCTTTTTTTTTTTTTTCTCACAATCACATCAACAGGCCGTGTTTTATTTAATTCATAATTAATTTCAAACTATACGAGAACAGTCAATCATATATATTTGCTATCGGCCAAACCAATGTACACGAGCTTCCATTATCTCTCAACGAAACTGGATAATCAAAACAAAAGCTGCGCTTACGGCTGCATTTAAAATCTTATATATGTTTTTTTTTTTCACGACTTAAACGGTCACAATTAAATTGATTTGGATTATCACTTTGCACAAAATTTTAGTTGTTTAATTTGCATGTTCATTGGTTTGCTCGATCACTTCCACTTTTTAATATGTTGCCGAATAAAAACTCACCCACTCTTGTTGCTTGATGAAGGCCTTCATGTTGCTCCAGAGGAGATGGTTAAAAAGCTGTGGGCTTAGAAGCTTTCAAATTATATGATTAGGGTTCTCCATAAGAGGTACACTTAGAGAAAGGTTGATCGGCGTGTTGTGATGGCGGATTTAAATTAATTAATTTTAGTATTTCATAATTATTGTTTTTTTTTTTTTTTGTTTTTTTAGAATTTAGTTTTAAATTTTAATCTGTTTTGCCTCTCATTATTATAATTTTTTTTTTTTTTTTTTATTATATATAGGTAATTAAGGATTTTATTATTTTAAGGTGTTTTTTGTATCGTTGTAATTTTTTTTAACAATCCCACGTGGCCAGTTTTTCTGCTACATTTTTGCTTTTGTTGCTTTTCTCTCCTGGATCCCTACAGGCTTTTCCTTTTTCGATGGCAAGAACGTTGTTGCGAGGAACTAAAGAATTTTTCTCAGTGAAAAGAGTATAAGCGACAGGTTATGGTAGGACTTACGTAAGTCGATTTTTCGGATCTGCCCAAAAACAAGGGTTTGCAACACAGGTTGGCAAAAAGAATTTGGCTACGGCCACGATCAGGAGAATTGTTGGTATTGGTTGATCCAGTGGCTATTAGAGGGGCAAAGGTTAGAATTTATGTTTTCTAAAATTTGCACAAAATATTTACCGTACAGGTTTAATCAGCAGCCGAAAGGTAAAATAATGCTGACTGAATAGCGGAGCACTTTCCGTATCGCGAGATGCGATCAGATTTGAATGCCTGGACTTTGAACTTTAAAGTCCAATTTTTTTGGCAGCGTGCAAAAACTATAAATTGAGATAAGAGCGATTTCAACTGCTCGTAGGCACGACTTAAAACGGAAAGACCAATTTCTGGGCTTACGAGCTTTTTATCAGTTCTCAAGCCGACGAAGGGGTGCATTCAGATTAATCACTTTTTTGTCATTCACAGGTAGTTGTCAAAAAAGGTGAATAGTGGGTCCTACTATGGCGGGATATGACGGGATTTTAAAAATCTAAGTCAAAATACAAAACTTTTCTTTCCCAACGTTCGTATAGGAAAGAAAACATTCTTGCAACTAAGGCGACCATTACAACCACAGATAATTCTGACGACTCGCAGGAGGAAGATTAGCTGGAATTATACGCGAATATCTTTTGCGTGAAAGGTTCCAATCTCTCGTCCTTGAAGAGTTTCCAATAGATAAAACGAGTTTCCTAGCTTACGTTTTATTCTACATTTAGTAAATTGTGGAGCAAGCTTCTTGTTATAGTTTTGACTGAAATTGCTAAGGCTAAAATTTCTTCTGAAGACTTCTTGGCCCTCTTTGTAATTCACTGGTTTTGATCTCAAGTTATACTGTTCTACATTTCTTTCATATGCTAACTTGCTGTTTCTCTGTATATCCTTTCTAATCAAAGTTAGACTATCAGGGCGATCTAATGGAATAGAATCCTCTAGCAAGTTTAAGTCTTTCAGCAAACGATAGTCAGCACCATGCTTAATCATATTAAGGCCAAATAACGCCTTATATGGTGAACATCCAATACCTTGATGTATTGCAGATCGAAGAGCACAGGATATATGAGTCAGATACTGATCCCATTCTCTTTGGTCTTGTTTGATGTAAGCACGGACAGCAGATAGCAAAGATCTGTTTACACGCTCAGCCGCATTACTCTGGGGAGAATAAAGTGCGGTAAACACATGTCGTATACCAAACTTGGTTAGAAAAACCTCAAACTCTTTAGCTTTAAATTGGCTTCCGTTGTCACTAACTACTATCTCAGGAACTCCAAAGCAATGGAAAATACTGTGCTCTAAAAATTCCTGTATTTTTTTAGAAGTAAATTGTTTTAGGGGGCATAGCCAATGATATCTGCTAAAATGATCTAACACGATTAGAAGACCGATATAACCAGATTTACTTCTAGGGTAAGGACCTAGTATATCAATGTATAATTTTTGAAAGGGTCTAACGGATACACTCTGTTGACCCATTGGTGGTCTTAGGATTGCATTGGGTGCTTTGGTTTCTTTACAAGTACTGCACTCACGAATGTAATCACGAATATCCTTGGAGAGACCTGGCCAAAAGAAATGTCTGCGTACTGCTTCAATGGTTTTATGCATTCCTCCATGAGCTGACAAAACATTATCATGGGCCTGACTAATAACGTTGGGTCTTAACTTTTCCGGAACCCATAATCGCCAGTTATTTTCATCATTTAAATGATCTCCTGTCGAATGTTCTGTTCGAATATATACAAACTTATCGACGACTTGTAAGTCTGGAAATGAATCTGCCTTTCCCAAAACTTTGTTTTTGAGACTTACATATTCATCGCTTAAAAATTCAATCGAATCTAAATCAATTTCCGGACCGCCTGATGTTACTGCATCCAAATGTCCTTCGCAAATGCGAGAAAGGGCGTCAGGGACTATATGATCTTTTCCCTTTCTGTGCGAGATAGAGAACTTAAAGGATTGTAGACGAAAAATCCACCTTGCCAAACGACCACAAACATTTTGTTGCCGCATTAGCCATAACAGGCTAGAATGATCGGTTATGACTTCGAATTCCTGCATCTCTAAATAACATCGAAATTTTTCTACTGCCAATATTACTGCTAAGCATTCTCGCTCGGTAACGCTATAATTTTGTTGGCTTTTGCTGAGTTTCTTAGAAAAATAAGCTATTGGCCTTTCTTCCATAGATTCCGATAATTGCACGAGAACTGCTCCTACACCATAATCGCTTGCATCGCAGTGTAAGAAAAATTTTTGACTAAAGTCGGGATTTTGCAAAACCGGTGCAGTTGTCAAAAGTTTTTTCAAAGACTCCATGGCTTGTTGAGCCTCTTCAGTCCACTTGAAGGTCTTTTTAGATTTCAAGGTTTCAGTTATAGGGTAACTGATCTCTGCAAAGTTATGTATAAATCTACGATACCATCCACAGACTCCTAAGAAACCTCGAACTTGCTTTAGGTTTTTGGGACTGGGCCAGTTTAAGATACACGATATTTTCGACGGATCGGTTGATATACCTCCGCTTCCAATAATATATCCTAAGTAATTAATTCGAGTTACGCAGAAATTGCTTTTGTCGATATTCAGAGTTAAATTTGCTTTCCTGAACTGTTCCGCAATGCGAACGAGGATGGCCAAATGCTCAGAAAAGTTTTCGGAGACTATACACATGTCGTCCAAATAACCAAAAACACAATTGCGTAAATCTGGTGGAATAAGAGAATCCATTAGCCTACACATTGTTGACGGGGCATTGCAAAGACCAAATGGCATAACCGTAAACTGGTATAGTGGTCTGCCAGGAACGGTAAAGGCAGTTAACGGTTTAGCTTCCTGTGTTAACGCG